TTCTTTTATAAGTGGGATTCTATGGAAATGGACCAATTATCTGATGGGTTGGCAAGAGCGTTATTTCGAATTACAAAATGGGGTCTTGGTGTACTATAAAAGCGAATCGGAAAAACAGTTTGGTAGTCGTGGTTCCATAACACTGCGCTGTGCAAATTTACAGGTCTCTACTCTACGTATTAAGTTTAGTAGTATACTATCTTTTTTTGAGGTTTATTGGCGTTATAGAAATAGTTCCTGCATTTTAATTACCATATTACTTTACTTTTGTTTATTCCATGAATTTATTCTTTGCAGACTGATTTATTAAATTTGCAGCAGGAGCTGTTCTGTTTTTAGTGTATAAAAAATTTGAAAGAGGGTAGAGAATTACTTCAAAATTACCCTATTTTTACCGCAGTTCAAATGATTACGAAAGATTTGTGAAACCACTTCATAAACCACTGAGTGCGCTGAATGAGTTTTCCAAAAAATTTCACTTTTTAACGTTTTTCAAGTTTGAAGAAAATAAAAGTAGGAAGTTGATGAGCCGTTTCCGTTTTCAAATCATATTTCGTCTCATCTTTCACTTTCTTCGCTCAGCTTTCTTTTTCGTCCACTTAATATGTTATGCTCGAGGAAATTTTTGATAACAAGCTATGAAAGAAAATTGCATATTACTTTACTTTTTCAGGAGAACGAAGAAGATTCTACTCACTTTGGGATAACCACAAATGGAGTTGCATGGTATTTGAAGGCTGAAAGTCTCAAGTCAAAAAATCTTTGGCTACAAGCAATAAAAACGTTTGTGGTAAATAATTTGCTTATGAATTTTTTAAGGCTGTTTATCTTATAATTTTCACACGAATATGTACAGTCTAAACTTTCCATCGCTTTTGCCACTAATTTCAATACCAAGTCGTCAATAACGGTGGTTAGTCTTTTAAACTACACAGTCATTTGGCTTGTAAATTTCTGACTACCTGAAGAGCAGAAACTGTGATATTGAAAGGGTAGCTGTCAATAAACAAATATGAAATGTAGTTGATGGTGATCATCTTGTTTATCTACTTTAAGGATAGACCAGGCTCTTTCGACAAGTTCTGAACTAGAACTGCTTCTTTCAATTAAAACTCTTCATTCTATGTTCTATTTGACGTGTGAGTGTTTGGTGGATTATTAGAATTGTCTTGCCTAACGTCTTTTTATTTTTCTACAGGAAGCTGCTTCACATTCCTTTCTTTAAACTTTAGGTTTTTTAGATATTTTCCAACATTTCTTTCTAAGTTCTTCATTTTTTTTTTTTGTGATTTTCTTAGCTCATATACTCATTGACTCTTAGTGACTTTGGCCAAAGGGCTTGGATTACCTTTTTTCATTTTTCACTGATCTTTTATTCTTTATTTTTTATTGTTAATTTTTACATGGAGCGCATAACCATTTTAACGAGTAATGCGTAAGGAAAAAACAGTGGAGGTACCAAGAACGGTAAATGCCACCGATGAAAAGAGGATCGATGGTGTTGATAAATTAAATGTTTCTCTTTTATCCGTTTTGTCTTTTATTAGCCAAGACTAATTCCACCAACATTTGCCAACTCAAGCAGGAACCTGTCACTGCTTGAGTAGGCCCTTACTGAGCAAGAGTAGAAAACCAGCTTATTTGAAGAATATTTCAGTCAGTAATTTGCAGTCTGAAAACTGATCTATGTAAACCCGATTTCATTTTCAGACAGGTTCTCGGTCGAATAGTTGTCATTCTGCGTATCAGTCTGTTCCGCCTCCCAATGGTATTAAAAAACCTTCCTTGGTAATAAACAAATTTTCAGGTCCCCCTCTGCTTATTATGTCACTTCAAGTACATTTTTTTTCATAATCACGTTTAAGGATGAGTTGAAAGCGAAGGTAGATGATTTGGAGAAATCTCGACAGTTAGCACGCTTTCAAGTGGAAAAGTTGCAGCAGAAACTGAATAGTGCTGTTCAACAAGTCGGTAGTAACGCAGAAAGCAGTTCCTTGCAAGAGGAGGGACTCGCTTTGGACATGACTACCGCTGCTATTTTAAGGGACGTGAAAATATGTATAGATATTCTATCTGAACAGGTTATTGGATTTCTTGTGCTCAACGTTTGTTTGCGCATTAATTTGCTATAACTTATAATTAATGATATTAGTTCAGTTTTTGATTTTTTTGGTTTATTTTATCTTCCAACAAAAACTTTGCTTGCTGCTCGTTTTGCTTATTTCAGTTTGCTGCTTACCGTTCTCTTAAATGGAAAGAAATATTTAGATTAGTATTTTATTCTGATATTTTCTTGTGGATTACTTTGTTTTTTTTTCTTACTTTTATTTTTTATTATTTTTTTGTTTGTTTGAACCTACTGTTTAGAGTCTGAATTTACCAGTTAATAAGGTTAATAGTAAAGAAGAACCTATCGATCAAGAGGAAGATGATAATAATGGCATAGGTTCGCCGACATCTGCTAGTTCAACGGTATTTTTTTGTTTGCAAATCTATTTTTTACTATTCGTTTTTTAATAACTATTGTTTGTAACAGCTTGTGCTAAAGGGTGATTTGGCATCCACTTGGAAATCGAGTGGTACAGGCTGTATACCTAGGGATTTTTTAGCCGTAACCGTAAAATCATTTTTCAGAGTAGGCTGAAGTACCAGGAGCTTGGTGATTCATCATTTTTTGCTATTATAAAAGACTTACTTTTAGGGCATTTTGAGCGATTCTGAGTGGCACGATGCGTTGGAAATGAAGGAAGATAACATTATTGAGGTAACAGTAGTACTTTTTAACAACTTTTATTATGCTTTTATTAAGTTCTTTAATTTGCAAGACTAAGGTTGTTTTATAATTTATTTTCGAAGGTCGGCTGAAAGTTTTTTAGGTGTTTTGTCTAATATTTTAGAATTTCTTTTAATCTATAGCAAAACAAAAAAACTTCTTATTTTTTGTATTTTAGAGACGATTGAGGATTTGTAAGGGGAAAGTTTGACTGCTTCTTACTGTAGGTTGAACAGCTCATTGAATTTTGACTCTAGTGAATTCTATTAGCAGCTGTTAGAAATTTCTGAAAACACTGTTCTTATTGTAGATGGACACAAGGTAGTTAAAAAAGTAAAAAAAGTAGTTTACAATCAGTTCAACTCATTTTTTGATTTTATTTCTTGCTAACTTTGTTTCTGTCGCTGTTGCATTTTTTACGTAACCATTCTCCTCTGAAAATTCTTATCTATTCGCTTTTGAATATTTTTTTTTAGGTGACTTAGTACCGTCTTTAACCGTAAACTGGTACTGATTTTTTTATTTTTAGACAGTTTTACTGAAGTGTGGCGAAAATGGCAAGATTTTTGGGTGGGCACCATTATTTTATTTGCAGGATGCGAGGTTGTGTAAGCCCAAAATCGATAGCAAAGTTAGAGGAGATGATAATGAAACTCATTCGTCGTTTTCTCCTTTTGGAGTACTTACTCTTCCTTCCTCTTGCCCACTAGCAGAAGAAATTAATAGGATTACCTTAGAGCAGCTTCGTTATGCAAAAGCTGGTGTTGAAGAGAATGCAAGTTTTATCATAATTGATCACATTAAATTGGTCATTCTCTGCTATCTACAAATACACATCTAATTAAAAGTGTTGACATTTTCCTTATATTTTTCTTGTTTAGAAAACATTCTTTTTGTGCTTGGTAGCTTTTACTGGTGGTATTGATTTGAAATTGTTTTTTTAAAAAATACGATGAATTTTTACTGATATTAAGTAGAATATATGCTGTGATTTAGGTTTGGGAACTGTTTTCAGAGGAAGGTGAAATGCGTATGTACAAAATGGAAATGGAGATCGAAGGACTTGTTTGTGATCCCCTTAAAGCTACTCACTGTGTTAAAGTAATTTATAGATATTCATTTTTTTGTTTCTTAGTATGCTGGTACAGTTTAAAATATGACGTTTTATAGGGAGTAACAGCACGTGAGTACATTCATTTTTTTTACGAACCAGAATATAAGGAAGAATGGGATGGTAGGTTTTAAAAAATGAGAACTTTTTTGTGAGTAATATCATATTTGCAAAAACTTGGAATTCGTTGCAAATTCATTATCATAATAAAAAATGCTAACGTTTTGTATTACAGAAACCATCGATAAAATGAACGTTGTTGAAACAATCTCTTCAGATACTTGTGTTATACACCAGGTAATACTTGGACTTCTAACAGAGGTTTTTTAATTTTCCATCAACAATTCCAAAATATATTTTAAGCATGTTGCTGCGGATTTCATAGGTGGTTGTGGTTTACTGTAGTTTGCTTCTTTCAACAGTGGTTTATTACACATGAATTTATCCTTGCTTTATTCAAGATCCACAAAAGGATATGGCCTGCAGCTCAAAGGGAGTCGTTGTTCTGGTCACATGTGAGAAAATTGAATTCTAGCAAGGACTCAGACGCGTATGACCTTTATATAGTGTGCAATCATGACACTCAGCGAGCAGATGTACCAGTAATATTTATAATTTTCCGGTGTTTAGAAACTCTTGGGAAATCGATTCATGCTGCATTTGAAATCGGGATTTACGATAAATCAAAATTCTCATCTACTGTTCCACTATTTCTAATTAAATTTAAATTTTTGCCAAACCTCAATTGACGAGCACTTTTGAGATATGGGGTCTTTATTTGTTTATAAGGTTTGGCGTTTTCTAGTTAACGAATCTATCCAACATCCGGGTAGGAGTTACTGTTGCTATGGTTTGTCAAACTATTATTAATAGACGTGGCCATAGTGAGGAAATAACTCGTGATGATGTACAGTGCCGTATTATATATGTCGCTCAAGGTGAGGTTTTTATTCTTATCAAATACTTTTCGGCATAACTTTTGTGCACATCCTGTAAGATTACCGCGAAATTGTTTTTTTACTGTGGTAGTAAAGCTAAGATTTCTAACAGTATGACTTTGTTTACCCTTTTTTACAGTTCACCCTGGCGGATGGGTGCCCAGTGGCGCATTACGGGTAGTCTACAAACGGGAATATCCAAAGTTTTTAAGAGGCTTTACTAGTTATGTTGTGCAACAGTTAACTAATCGTCCGCTGTGTTTATGATGCATATCAGCTTTTTCATCTTGCTTTTCATTGTCTTTCAATTTTTGAACTGACTGGGTTATAGCTGTTTTGCACTCTTTCGTTGTAAATTTTTCTTCACTTTGAATGTACATCTTGAAGGTAGTTTACGTTTTTTTAACTCTACCAAAAAGCTGTAACAGCGAGAAACGGGGTCGCTCGAAGAATAGGGATTAATTATGAATTGGGACTTTGAAACTGACACTTGTTGTTAGTTTTTTGCTCCTGTTCCTACTAGATTCAGATTTTTTTTTTTTTTTTGTGAAGAGATTGGAGCTTATTACATTGGTGGTAGTATTTTTGCAGTTTTGTTGTTACTTACACTTTTTTTTCTCAAAGTGGGAGAGTTTTGTAAGTAAAAGAGACTCTTTTATTCCATAAAACCAACTTCAGGAGGACAGTCAGGAGTAATTCTACGTTGTGCCGATTGATGTCATATAGTACTTAAAAGTCCAAAACTATTTGCTTTGGGCTTAGCTGTTTGTACGAGAAATATACCTTGATATTTTAATTTTTATTTCTTATTTTTATGATAAACTAATTTGAAATGAAGATCTCATTGGTACTTTCGTGCAGCAGCGGTCATGATGACTCAGTAGGTGGCATTTAAACCGCACATCTAATTATTTCTCTTAGTGATTTCAAAAAGATGTCTTAATAGTAAGACTTGTATACTGCGGAACCTTAGTCCGGCTGAGATGGTTGAGATTCTTGTGGAGCTTCAGGCGTGTCGGGCAAGCAGTCGCTCTGCAAATACTGTCAATGCGGGTGAGAAACTTTATCTTTAAAGCTGGTCCAAATCATAAGTTTTCAGTAAAGTCTGAGTAAATTATGGTGAATCAAAAAGCTTGTCAAAGCAATTAATTGTCTAACATTAATGTATCCTTTTTAAATGCTTTGTAGAAACTCTGTTAATTTTTTTAAGCGTCGACGGTCACAGCTTTTAAGTAGTTTTAAAATCATTAAACTGTTTCGTCTGCGTTGTATCAAAAGTTTATGCTGAGTACTTAGCATTTTTACTACCTCACTGTAGTTGTGTCTCGTCTGAATCAATCGTTGTTTAATGAACTCGAGCTCAGAATTTTGGAGTTGTCGGCTTTAAATCTAATATATATATAACACAATATTAATTGAAAATGCACAAATGGTCCTGAACTTTTGCTTCTATCTTCCAATTTTTACAATCTTTCGTACTTTTCGAGCTTTCGAGAACGAATTTGGCGAAGGCTATAGGTAGTTTGTCAATCATTCTCTCTGTCGTAACTAGAAAACCTTAAAATGAAATCTTACAAAAGCTATTCAGAGCAACTAATTTCTTTTACATGCTTCGGCTTTCGCCCTTTATTGACATTTTCAACGTGCATTGAAAGTGTAAACTTCAAATTCTTTTACGAGGTATGTGCGACAGCTTTTGATGTGGACCATTCCATTACAAGTCACATTTTGCATACTGGTATTTTGCGAATTGAAGGTTTTGAGCGACAACCTGTCTCAGCCTGATTCAGTTGTGAAATGTACAGTTTGCTTTTGAGGAAATCCGAAATTTAGTGGTGTTATGATCATATCTTTGGCAGATGTTTCGCTGAAATTGCTAATGCAGTAATTTATGTACGATGTTGTATACCATTACAAATACTCTGTATAATAAATGCATTCAATTACTCATCTGGTTCTCTGAGTAAACTTTAATTTTATCATTCAACTTGGTACTAGACTCATTGCCAGGGCACATGTTGTTATTTGTAGCAAATTACACCAGTTCAGAAATTTATCTGTAATTTTCAATTTTCACTCGCTTAGTACACTTTGTTAGTACATAGTGTTGTTTACGGAGCCGTGTTGTTCCTGAATTGTATATACAGTCACTCTTCATCAAGATATCCCAAATTCCGGCCGCTCTCTTACTATATCTGTATTTATAGAGCTCTTTCGTATTTTCGGTTTTTTTACGTAAGCCTAAAATTCGTTTCAAGCTATCGTTTTCAAATCACAATAGCGGTTGGACGGCAGTAATACACCCTACGTTAACATGCAGTACCTTTTTTATGCAGACTGAGGTTAAGGTTGTGGATGTAATACAGTGAAGGATACAATTCTACAGCGCATCTTTATAAAACAGTTAGACATAGGAAACAATTTATTGAATAAGGAAACCAAACGTCGGGAGTATCTAACTGATGTGAAAGGGGAATATGTGTTTCGGCCACTGTGTGTTCAGTTTTTAATGAAAGATTTGTCTACGAAATAATCTCAGTGCATTAGAAAGAGAGCAAAGCGCTGCTAAAAACCACTTACATTACTATAGTTAACTTATCGAATTTTACAGCTGGATAAAAGAATGATGTAACATACATTCAGCAGAACTAATCTGTGGAATCCAATCTTAGTTTTAGAATTATTTTTCCATGTAAAAGCTTTTACAGACTAGGGTTCTATTTCTACAAACTATATCAGGTCAAAAAATTAAACTGAGTTCTGCATCACATTCATTGTCACATGTCAATTATGGGTAAGGCAAACGAAGTGGAAATAAAAACTAGTAGTTCTCAGCGTAAAATTGGGTGCTTAAGACAATCTGGATGTCAAAGAAGAACTAATGACAACTGTGGCTGCTTTAGCCAATTTCACTTTTCTCCATACTTCAAAAAGCAAGTTATTAGGTTGGAAAATCAAAGAACAGAAGTGAAAATTTGTTAGTCATTGTGTCAATAGTTTATCCAAAAGGAAGGAGCCTTATGAAGTGCTGCTAAAAGCCAGAAGGTGACAATAACGAATTTTCCTCTTTTACACAAGTAAGCCATTCATGTGGTTAAAAACCGTGAACCGGTTTTTGCTAAGGATGCATTATATGTTTATCGTCACAGATATATTTGTGTTGATATAAAAAGACTTGTCAAAAGACATTTGCAGTTATGAAATTGTTGGCATAATTTTTCAAATTTGATGTGGATAAGATAAATGCCTCGTGTTTTACACGGAGTGAGTAAGAAAAAAAAAAAGGAAAAAACCTAGTACGTTGTAATTGCTGAGAATTTTACAGCTTTTGGCAGCAGTGGTCTCCCAGTATTTTCTAGTCGGATTCAGAGATAGAATGCACTAAAGTGAATTTCATCTACACCTCTTGTTGTGATAATTTCTAATTCTGACCCCTGCCATTAGACCAGTTAAGTAAGAAACGTTCCTGCTATGGTCAATGAAGTTTAAAATGTTGTTGAAATGGTTTGATGTTGTCAAACGTAGCGATTCTGTTCAAATGAACATATTTGAAGTCTGAGCTTTCAAAATAACTTTGAAAAAAGGAATATTTTTGGCAGTTAACCTTTTGGGAATGCCGTCAACTTATAATCAATATATGCGATAAGCTGTCTTGCTTATGCCTTTCCTTAATGACACCCTCTTTTATTGCATGAACTTAATCAAATATGCTCTTTTATTACCAAATCAAATGGTACCACAGAAATCATACTCTTTTTTTTCTGCCGTAGAACAGAGTTACATGTAAACTATTACAAGCCAGCACTGAAATTCAGTCAAAAAGGATTCAAAAAAAAAAAATTGCATACACGTATGGCCGTATTTTTATTAATTTAGTAGGATCTTGATATCAAGTGAACACGCCATTTACCTTGCAATTCTGAAGTTCATGAGTTCCATGACGAGTGAAAAACTCCGACAAAACGATGAAAAGCATAAAAAAAAAAAAAGAACTTAACCAGCGATCAAATTTTTATCTCCGACGACAAACCGGGTTCCTTTTACCAATGATGACAAAATTTAACATTGTTCATGGCTTTCTTAATAAAAGGAACTTCATGTCAATTTACACTTAACTAACTGTTTAAAACAAAAGCTGTCCAAATCATCCAATTAAAAAACGAATATAGTTCTGAAATATGCTTTCCCATTAGCATTCGGTAGTTTATCAATATATTTGAAGTCAGGTTGCAAATAGGCGATTAAATTAAGAACAGATGTTGAAAAAAATAAAAAGGTATTAATTCTTCTTGTACTCCAAGATCAAAGCTGTTAAGATTTTCCATTATAAACTGCTACTAAAAAACTTTCAAAGAATTTAGTGCTTCTGGATTGCTGTTTTCATCTTAATACGTTCATTTTACTACATTTTGCAGGGCAAGCCCAGATTAAAGACCGATTTCAAGTCTGTCTGAATAGTAGGGTCAAGTCGAAAGCGACAGAAAAAAAACCCTGTAAATTTGAAATTTCTGTTACACCTAAAGAACAGGAAAACTGAAAAGTGATTATTATGCCGACAAATAATTTCATAATTTTGTTCATCAATAAAAGTATTGCAACTTTAAAAGAAAATTAAAGTTAGTGTAAGAAATATTTGTCATGCCAATGTGCCGAAAATAAGCATAAATTGGTGCAGCAGCCAAATAAGATTTCTGTACCACAAAGCACAAATTCATTAATCGAGAAGCATGATACCCCGTCCGTCACCAAGATCATTTAAAAGTAAAATAGAACAGACAACTTTCTACCACTGACAAAACTGCCTTTGTTAGGTCGATATTTTACGTCGATAAAAAATCAGTTTAGACTGTTAAAGAGCCTATCAAAATGTTATAAAAATGTTGCGTCGAATTTCTGTATTATTACTAAAAACAGTTGCTGAAGCACTCAATAAGTTTGTCCAAAACATATTAAAGTCATAATTGTTCTTGAACATAAACAAAAGTGGGCTTGTTTTGTGCTCTATTAGCATAAAGCTTAGGCAATACTGTTACAAATAATAACGTAATTAATCCTAATTGCTTTACTGTTATGAAGCCATGACAAAAACTTTGCCATAAAGGTGTTTTAATGAAGCAGATGCTTCTTGACAATATAGCTAAATTTGACTGTAACAGTTTCAGTATATAGAAATTTACACTACCCTAAACATAATTAAATTTAAGTTGCAGAATTTAGGAAAAAATTTTTTGCCTAAATTATGAAATTGCTTGCATATATAGTAGACG